GGAGCCTCTTGCCCACCCTGGTCTCCGGCATTAACACTGCTTCTGCATCCCGAGAGGAAAATGTTGCATCATTTTGTTGTGGCAACTGCAGCAGGAGCATCCCTGGAGAGATTTGGCCCAGGGAGCTGCTGGGACAGATGGAAAAGGACAGATGCTGCTCTGTCATGTGGAAGGGAACTCTGTGGCACAACACAGGATTGACCCTGGGAAGTTAAAATGGGGCTTGCAAAATTGCACACAGGCCATTTTGCAAGGAGGGGAAGGAAAACTCTGCATGGCCAGGCTTGTGTTTGTGTTGTCAAATGTTCTGCCTTGTTTCATGGGGCTGTCGAAATGCTAACAGGGGACTGAGACGTGCAATTCCAGCTGGGGTTAAACAGCTTAACTGCTCCATGAAACGAGCTGTGCAATGGGAACAATTCGCAGAGCCTGAGTTTTATTGGTGCTACCACGAAACAGTGAACAGAGCTTGGCCGTGCTCCAGGCTTCAGGGGGAGAGAAGGAAAAACCACGTACCACGAAGGGCACCAATAACCCCTCTCAGGGGAGCTTGAATTAGAAATAAACAGAATGATGTGGGCACCCAGAATGAGGGGAGAATTTTGCAGGGCTGGGCCATCACAACACTGAGCTGCCCCTGTCCCTTGGGGCTACGGACCACCAGCGTCCTGCCCCGCTGTTATGGGGCAAATGCACAGGGCTCTGGTTGGAATATTTAATCTGATGGGAACAGACTTGCCCGCATTAACCTGCCTCGTGATCTAACTTGTTATTGTCAACTAAATTGGGTCAATACTCGAGATGAGACATCACTGAAAAGGCAAGTTTCTGGAGGAGCTGACGTGCATCTCGAGCACCCGCACCCACCCGGCTCCCACCCTGTGGCCAAGCACTCACCCCAAGGGTCGACGCACCCATGAACACACGTGTGCTGCTGTGGGGAGCTGATCCTGCATCCCTGAGGGGAATAACACCAGCACGGGAAAGGGCTCAGGAGGTGCCTTTGCACGTGGCTCGTGCAGGGCGCGCTCGGAGCATCGCTCATGCAAGACATCCTCGGTGCATTAACATCCTCCAGGCATCCCCCCACGCCCACAGGAGCCAGAACCCCAGTTCCACTCCCCACCTGCCCCCCGGGGGGGGGTGTCCCTGGCCGGCACCCCGGCTGCTGCGTGGGAGCAGAGGTGGGATGCAGGAGGGGCTGCTGGCCGGCTGCCCGTGGGCCTCCGCAGGGCCGGGCACCAGCCGTATGTTGTACCTGGCGCCTGCCAGGGAAACCTCCCTTCTCCAGCACTCCAAAACCACGGCTGCGTGCGGGGAGCGGCACAGCACTTCCCCATTCCTCCCTCATCAAACCTGGTTTACGCGGTGGTGGCGGCGGCGGCAAAAAAAAAAAAAAAAAAAAATTCAAAAAAATTCAGCTCTGAATTGCACCGGCACGGAGCCAGGAGCTGCAGCCGGCGGGGGAGTCAGCAGGGCCAGCAAACCCCGTGGGGAGACAGGCACCTCTCCCCCACAAACCTCTGCACCAGCAACGTCCAACAGCTGCTGATTTCACAGCCCGGCTTATGACTCCGGAGCGGGTGACACTGCGGGTCACTGCCTGACACCCCGAAAAACCGTCAGCACCCGGCAGGTTCTGCTGCAGCGCAGCGCTGAGCTGCGGGCAAGCAGGCAAAGAAGACCCCAAAAAGCAAAATTTCAGAGCTGTCGAGGTGGGCAGAGTGGCTCCCACCTCTCGCGCGCTGCTCCCATCTCTTCAGGTCACTGAACTGGCAGGGAACAAGCCATTGCCCTTGCTCACTTCCCTCTCTTTGCCCAGATGGAAAACTCAGAGAAATCAGTGAACAAAAAGGATCTCCTGGTTAGGGCAGGTGTTTCAAAAATGACCTGTTCTCTGCTGCCTGCCAGAAGACCTCGGCGCTGGTGCTGAAGCACTGCACGGCAGTCGGACAGCCGGGCACAGGCTGGGACCGTCCAGGAAACCCTCGCAGCTTCGATGACTCTTTATTAGCAGCCCAGGAGCCTGCTTGGGCCACACAAGGACTTTGACGACAAACTGATTAAAGACCAACCTAACAAACTCAAAGAGAATTCTTTAAACGGAGCCTGCTGTGCCTCAGAGAACTCCTGCCATGTCTATTTATTTAAATTTAATGGAATTTTTGTGGTAAGCTAATTAAATATGAATTGATTATTTAAGAAGCAGTCAGAGCAGTTTAAGCACTGCTGACTTGATGATTTTAGTGTTTTCTTTAGAAAAGCATTCCTAGTTATGTAGCTTTCTGCATGTATGGACATTCAAGGGGGAAAAAAGATGGATACAAAGAGAAGAGCGGCCAAGTTTGGACCCAGACTCGGAGGCATTTCTGGATGAGGGAGCAACCTGCCATGGGGACAGGAGCAGGCACACGTCCCAGCCCGAGGTCTCTGCCTCCAGCCAGAGCCTGCTCGTCTCCGCTGAAGGCAGGGACCTGTCAAGAAATACAGGTGTGAAATAATGCACAAAATACCTCGCCAGGAAATATCCTGCTCCGGCACGCAGCGGCTCCGGGACGTGTTTCAGGCGCGGTGCATCCCCCTGCCCTCCCACGCTGCGCCGCTGGGCGATGGGAGCGGGAACACGACAGCCGCAGGCTGTGACCCCAACCGCGATGCCGGTTTTCAGCCCGAAGATTGGACGTCTCTGCGTGTCGCCGAGATGGAGGGAGAGGGACTTGAAGGACTTTGCAGGTGCCCACTGACCACGGGTGGCCTTGCCCAGCCCCGGAGCTGCAGCCCAGCACAGGAGGAGAGCAGATGCGGTCGTACCGAAGCAGGGGCACCGTGGACTAGTGCCAAAGCCCGGCTCCACGGCAGGCAGCCCCCCAACCTCCCCAGCGTGTTTGCAGCTGACCCACATCCTCTCCGTCAGGATAAAAAGAAGATGAAATTAATAAGCTGGGTGACAACAGCCAGAAGAGACAGATGGCAAAAGCATCCTGCCACGAGCCGTGCTTACCTATCTTTGGCTGAGAAAGTGAGAAACCGAGTGGGGGTGTTTCCAGCCTCATGCCTGTACCACAGGGCAGCAGCTCCCGGCACAACTTCCACCACCAGTTTGATGATGGGAAAGGCTGGTTTTCCTTCCAGAAGGCGTCTGGCTCCGCTGCACCCAGCTGCAGGTCAGGCTGTGCGGCGGAGCCTGGGCTCGCCGATGCCCGACCGGGCTGTGGGTGCCTCCTCAGGGTGCTCCTGCCCTGCAGGGATGCTCGTCCGTGGCAGACTTGGGCTCACTGCTGCTCTTCCAGCTCTCAAATGGAAACCAGCACCCGGCACGGGGCGGCTGTCTCCTGGTCCCATCCGGCGGCAGGATGCGAGCGGGCGGCGAGGGTGCGGGTGCTGCGGTGGTGCTGGGCGCTCTTCCCTCAGGGTCACTCACTGCCCAAGCTGGGGGCCAGAGAGCCCCGTTGTAGCCTGGTGACACACTGGCGTGTCACGGGCTGAAAATCACTTAAAACTCACCCGCTGGGAAGCAAAGGGCTGCTTTCGAGGGAGGGCGGCAGAGGAGGAAGCGGCTGCAGGGCTCCGAACTGACCTGAGGGTGCAGGCGCTTCACCTGCGAGAGCTCTGGGTGCATCGGCACCACCCGGCACCTTCGCCAGAGCAAGGACCGCGTCTGGCAGCTGAGACCAGCCCACGCTGTCGTGATGTGGCAGCTCCCCCGGTCCGGCTCCGACCTTCGGCGCGGACTGTGCCCTTTCGGGGACGGGTATTGCTCAGGAGGTACCCCAGAGGACCCCGCCGGGGCTCCGCAGGGGGGGAACACACCCCATGAGGAGCCAAAATCTCCACAGAGAGTGGCTGAGCCATCGGTGGGTGTCGGGGTGCACAATCCCTTTGCCAAGGTGCAAGCGTGGGTTGAAGGGCCTCCCGCATCGCCCCGGCCCCGGCTGCGCCTGCCTGCGGTCCCAGCCCTGCAGGGCTCGCCAGCTGATTTTGGGGAGCTGCATGCGGCACGGCAGCGTTTCCTCCCGCCAGAGTCTTCTGGTCCCTGCAAGTGGAGGAGCCCCAGGAGCGGGAGGCCCCTCGGGCCCAGCCCATGTCCCTGCTGTGCACGGGGACGGTGCTCTGGGGCTCGGCTGGCAGCAGGAGGGAGCCAGCGCCCACACCTCACCCCAAGGCACCTGGATGTCCCCGGATAAAGGAAAATTTGCATCCAAAAAGCCGCCAGCGGGGAAGCTCTGCCCTGGGTTTATGGCTCTTGCTCCTGGTCGCCGCTGGGCACCTACAGACATGCAAAACGCCGTCACTCAGGGATGCAGGACGGTGTCACTCCGCTCCCCTCCGCGCCCCCCCCGGCAGCGCAGGCTGGGGACAGGGCCCAGGGGGACGCCAGCCCTCCTCGCCCCAGACGCTTCCCGGCTCCGGCGGTCGGACAGCCCCGGGGCTGGGCCGGGGGGCGCTCACTACCCCGGTTACGCTGTGCCCTAAGGCTGTAGGGGCCGGCGCAGCAGCTCCCCGGCCCCCACCGCCCCTCTCTGCGCCCAGGCCCTTACGCGTCCTGCGCCGCTGGCCGCACGTGCCGGGGGCGCAGCGCTGGGGCGAGGCCGCGGCTCGGCTGCGCCGGGGGCTCCCGCTCCCCCCAAACCCCGCGGAGTTCCCACCGGGAGACGCGCGCAGCGGGGAGCCTCGGCCCGCGGCCACCCGTGACCCGGCCGCGCGGTGACCCCGCGGCGCCGCGCGAAGCCCCCACCCGCGCCTCGGCGCGGCCGGCTTTGCACCAGCGAGCCACGTGCGCTCGCTCCGCTCCGCTGCTGCGGCGAAGCGCGCGCGCGGGGTGGGGGGGGTGTGTGCGTGGGTGGGTGCGTGGGTGGGTGCGTTGCTGCAGCCTCGCAGGGGGCCGCCGCGCGCCAGCCCGCCCCGCGCGTGGCCCCGCCGCAACGTGCCGGCCCCGCCCCGCCCCTCCCGCGCCCCCTCCCCGCGCGCCGCCGCTCGTGGGCGAGGAGCGAGGGCTCGCGCGCGGGCGCGCCCCCCCGCGCCGCCACGGTCACGCGCTCCCCCCCCCCTTCTCCCCCCTCCCCCCCGCCCCCCTCGGCGGCGCGCGCGCGCGCGCGGGGAGGGGGCGCGCGCGGGGAGGGCAGCTGAGGACAGGGGGAGGGAGGGAGCGCGAGGCCGCGCCCGCCTCCGCCCCCCGCGTCTGGCGCGTCGGTCGGGCCCGGCCCGGCCCGGCCCCGGCGCCTCATTGTGCTTCGCCTCACGCCGGCCCAAGATGGCGGCGGCGCCGGAGAGCCCCGCGAGCCGCTAACGACAATAGAGGGAGGCGAGGGGAGCGGGCGCCCCCGCCGGCACCGGCCTCGCCTCTCCCGCCGCCCTTCCCCCCCCCCCCCCCCGCCGCCGCCGCCGCCGCACCTCGCACACGCCCCCCGGCCGGGCCCGGCCGCCACACCCCACCCCGGCCGGCCCCTCTAGCATGGTGCGGGGCCGCCGCCGCCTCCTTCTCCGGCTGCCGACATGGGCGAGAGGCTGGAGCTCCGGCTGAAGTCGCCCGTGGGAGCCGAGCCCGCCGTCTACCCCTGGCCGCTGCCCGTCTACGTGAGTATGGCCCCGGCCCGGCACCTGCCCCGCGCCCTGTCAGCGCCGCCCGCTCCCCGGGCCCGGCCACCCGCGGCAGCCCCGCTGAGCCCGCTGGGCCCCCGGCCCCTGCCCCTCCTCAGCCCTCCCTGGGTCCCCCCCGAGCGCTTTCTGTCACTTGTTAAATCAATCTGCTTAACGCGCGTCCTTCCTGGGAGCGGGAGTCGTTCGCGTTATTTCTCCGGGAGCGGTTCCCCTGCGGGAGCACCCCCGGAGCCGCGGGCTGGAGGAGGGTGAGGGGCTGCCGGGCTCCCCAGCCCGGGGTGCTGCTGCTCGCCTGGAAGTCAAATCCCCGATTTCTTTTTATAATTGGTTGACTAAACTTAAGGGCGGGGAGGAGGAGGACTGGTTAATGAAAAGTTTTCGTGTTTTCCTGAGCTCGGCTCGTGTAACTGGTTAATAACCAAGAGCTGCTTTGAACGGGGTGAAATCAGGAGGGCTTTCAAGCTGATAAATTTCGCCTAGATTATCGATGGCTTCGGGTGATCGGGAGTATTCCCCCCAAAATCAGGGGCAAGAGTGGAAATAAACAGAGGAGGAGCGTTAACTGTGGGTAGGGAAGCAGGGCTTTGCCTTCGGTACGTGTCAGTGGGGTTGGTGCTGTTGCCTTCGTTTCCCTCGAGCGAGTGCCCTTGTAGCTTCTCTTTTATTTAGTCTGAACAGAATTCAAGTCAGGTTTGGCAGTTGATGGCAGCCGTAATCCGCATGCTTTCAAATAAAATGTCACTTGTCCCTGTTCAGTTACGTGAGCGGTGGTTTTTTTCTAACTTGCCTGACTTTTCCCTTCCTCTCCTGAGCCCTGAGTGAGAGATGTGTGACCTTGATAACAATGTCCATGTTCGAATTAGTGAAAAATCTCACGAGAGGAGGAGGGCATGAGAGGTGGTTTTTTTTGTATGTGTGTAGTGTTTGTACCAATCCTTGAACAAATTTTCACCCTGACTGTTTGTAGTGCCTTTGAGAAGAGTTTGTAAAAGGAAAAATCTCTCTCTATATTTTCCTTGGCCCGAGTACTGTTGATTATTCCTTGCGTTTCAGGCTTTGCTCTTGTACGTGTGCTGTTTCGCGGGGAAAACATACTGGGACACGCAGGCTGGGGCAGCTGATATTGCTGATATTGTTGTTTGCTTGGCATTCGTAACGTGCTTGTGTGTGAATGATTAGAAATATATCGCTTGTGTCAGGGGAGGTGGCTGTGTATTCGTATCTGCTGCCTGCCTTTTGGTGCTGTTGCTGTATCTGTGGTTTCCAAACCATCCTCCATGTATGCTGGCGAGCTGTTTTCATCGGCTGCTCCCGGAGCTGGAGCCTCCAGCACACACTGGTTAATGCAGCCTTTCCTGTTTGGGCAGCTCTGTCATTCGTGTGTGTGTGTGTGTGTGTGTGTTCGCGGGCGCGCGCTCTGCTTAAATTGACAGAAACTGAAAGTATAACGATGACCAGTTCAGTTTTCTTCGTGTTGCCAAATAGTAACTTGTGTCTCCAAGCAGGTTGCGTGAAGTGTGGGTTAAAGGTTATATAGGTTAGGGATTAATCTGGAAGGAAGGAATCGTTTTATGTATATTCACAAAGCTTCCTACTGGCTTAAAAAAAAAACCCAAAACCAAACAAAGAACAAAACCCCACAACCTTCAACCTCCCCCTCCTACCTGCCCCCCTCCCCCTTAAAATGTGCATTTTAATGCTGTTTGCAGCATGGGAAATAAAGATTTAGTTAATTCAGGAAAACTTGAGCAGCCGGTTCTGGAGATGGCAGAGTACATAGATTTTTCTTTTCCAGTTAATTACAAGTGCAACGGACAGGGGAGCTTATCCACATGTGCTACCTGCATGTCTTAAGAAATACCGCAAAACCCAAACATTCTGCCATTAAACCGGCTTCTTGGCATTGCAAATTTTTCCACAGTAGTACAGAAGTGGATGGTTCATCTGGAGCCAATCAGTATTCTGTCCTGCAGTTTTGGTGAAAGGATCATGCCGCATATTACAGAAGCGTGCGCTTGCGTGCGTGGGCACGCATGCATACACACACGCACGCCGCTTGCAGCGCTGGCCTTTGCAGCAGCAGATGAACTCTGGAGCTTTAGAAATAAATCCTGCTCTCTGTACATGGCAGTGTTTGGCCTGCTAACATTGTACTCTGCTGAACTGTAGACTTTCTTTCCCTTGTTGGCTCAGCCTTGAGTTGGCAGCAGGGTATATGTACCGTTGTGGTTTTAGAGCTCAGCTCTGTTTGACGTAAGCAGAACATTTCTTAGTTTCACCACTCTTTCTGCTGCTTGGTTCCTAGGAAGCAAGGTGGAATACCTGGGGGGAAGAAAAAATATACTTCACATAGTTTTATTTAGCAGCATTCATGCTGCTTCCTGTTGTATGCAGTGAGATATATTTTTCCAAAGAGAGCTGGAGAGAAAGGGCAGGGGAAGCTCACAGTCCTTGCTAATTATTTTTGGTGAGAGTGCCAGGAATGGCAGGGAATCATCTTTCCCAACATCAGAGGCTGAGTGGTATTGTAGACCTGCTGCTTGATGAGCGCTGCTGTGTGATGTAACCTTGTATTGAGTAACTTGGCTATTTTTATGCTCTTACTACATCTTAAATTAGCGGCATCGGTATTGCTGCGTAAAAGGCTAAGGGTCTAATCTCTTGTATTAATGGATGCCTGAATTAATAACGTGCCTATTTGTTGCGGGACTGCTGCTTGTTTCATGTGTTCTAGGAAAAGTGGGGGTCTCTTCAGTCTGCTGAGTTTGCATAATAGCTCAGCTGACAAACTGGTGCTTGTTGGGATGCTAAAAGAGCCTGGGAGGGTGATGTGAAACATTTATTTCCTACCAGTCTAATTAGGGCCGTGGGAGGAGAGAGCATTGGTGTTGCAGATACAGCCTCCCACTGGCTTACATACAAAACTGAAAGTATGACTCTTTCCCCCGCCTTCTGCTTTTCTCAAAGGAAAGGCCACGGTTTCCTAATGAATACATGGTGAGCAGTTCTGTCCGTAGCACACTGTGATGAGTAAGTTGAATAGTGCATGGTGAGTAATCTCTCCTCATGACTCACAAAATATTTTCTGATGTTGACCTCTGGTTTTATGAGTGCCCTGCTTAATCAGAGCTGAAGTGAGTTTGTTCTTTTGTATGCTGTTTAACTTCTTGACTCCCACATACCTGCCCCATTTTTTGCTTGCATTGGGTTGTCAGATACCGATGATACTGCATTAAAAATTTGAATTTTGGTATTGGGTGAGATACAGGCCTGGATAAAGGAAGTATGTTACGTGCTGTAATGGGTGAGGGAGCAGAGTTAATGGATCTAGATGGTCTTAAATAGGCCAATGCCCGTGGGGGATGGCATTTGTAGCCATACTTCAAGTATTGATATGCGCAACTTGGTACTTCTTACTTAGCTTCGAACTGGTGGATACAAAGGGTGAAGTCCCCTTCTAGTTAAGACTTGGAGGTGTTTAGGTTCATTCCAGATAATTGCCATTAAATTGGTTCATTTTTTTTTGTCTCTGACGTTTACTGTAGATAAATCTGACTATTTATTAGGTTAGAACATGGAGATTTTTCATACTCTGATAAATTCTGCCCAATCTATGAGGTGACAGGGGTTGTACTTTGAACTCCTCTTGACAATAGTTCCTGCTTAAGGAGTCCAAAAGGTGTGTGGGGTGGTTAGTTTTGGGGTTTTTCTTTGTGCATTTTTTTTTTCCTAAATCTGGATCAGTTCCACAATCTGGCACAGTTCTGCTGATACATCTCTGGCATCAGTGAGGGATTGCTTGCATACAGAACTGAGCAACAGGAGGCTTCAGAACTGCTGAGGCTGATTATTGTCACCAAAATTAACTCTGGCTAAACTGCAGCCCATTGCAATGTGGAAAAGCCTGTTTTCTGGTAGCATGTGCATCAGTAAGAGGACGAGGACACTATGAGTCATTTATCTCCTCTCCTTCAGGCTTGTGTTGAATGGGTTTTCGATGTGATCAAAGCAAGTATCAGTGCTGACAAAGAGGGGAGGGGGGGGCACAGCCAGGTGATGAGAGGGTGAGACTGGTGTTGACTTTGAGTGGCTTACCCTGCCCTGGCACTGTGTCCTTCACCCGATGGCTGCAAATGACTCGCTGCCTGTCATGTTAAATAGTGTGCAAGTCCTTTCAAGTTTCAGAATTAGACATCTGCCTGTCTTGCCTTGCTCTTTTCGCCTGGTAGGCCTTCCCGTTGTTCGCCTGCTGAATAGCATTCCCCCAAAAGATAACTGCAAACCTCCCTGTGCGTCAGGTTTTTGTGTGTCGTGTTCTGCCTCTGCTTCCTGTTGGACTTGTAAGGGCTAGTCATTTGTGTTGTGATAGTGCCTGGGAACGTCTCCCACAGCCCAGGCCACTGATGAACAAGCCACTGTGGATCCCAGTAGGGTTATGCTTTGAGTATTTTTTACCAATTTTGTTCCCATCTTTCAGCCTGGAAATCTCAGGCCCTTGACTCTGTCCCAGGAGGGGACTGTCCTGGTTGTGCCATTGTGCAAATCTTACCTCTGTCCTGAGCTGCTGAAGCTTAAACCTCCAAATTAGCAACTGTGATGTTAAGTCTGGCTTGAATAATTCATTGATTTGTCTGTGTTCCTCCTCTTTTGCTGCTGACTTTCCACTCAGTTGTAATGGCAAAAAATTCTCATTGGCTAATTGAGTATTGTCAGAGCATCACCCTGCAGCTGTTTGAGAGGTGTGTTTGTGTTTGCTGCTGAGGAGTGATGGCATACAGGCTTGACAATACTGGACTTTGTACAGGTGGAAACGTGCAGTGTGTGTCTGGTGTGGGTATTTTTTCTTTCTTTTTTTTTTTTTTTCATCTCTCCACTGGTTGGTGATACAGCTGATACTATTCTGTCACCAAAGGAATGTGCTGTGCATGAGAAGCTCAAGGGCAGGCAGTGATAATGAAAATCACAGCCCAGCAGGG